GAAGGGCGGGGTAACCGCTACACGTAAATATATTAGTTAGGTGATAATACTAGTAGTACCCTCTATGTACTCGTGATGTAAAAATGGAGGTGAAATAGAAATGTAGGCAGCGAACAAAATACATAAGCATTCACAACGACATTACGACACCGTGGCCTACCGAACTCGGACCTCCACTGGAAAGTAAGGAGTTGCAAATTTGTGCGCATCACACGGTGAGCATCGCCACACCTTTCGCTTCTGGTTCACGAGGTGCGTCAATGTCTGCCCAAATTGATGACATCAAGTTGTAAGCAGTTGAGGAAATGCTGCAATGAAACTTCTGGTGAGTTTCTTTTGTCGCCGGTTTTCACATGCACTTTAGGGATATTGCAGCCGTTTGAGCGTTTTATTAGAACAGTGCTTTCTATTAAAAGATGTACGTATGAGTATCGTTTCAGATCTGTTCTCTAATCGCTCATCCGTTTTGTCAGGAGCTTCACTTTGGTCTTCTGGCTTTGGCTCGATGTCTTGTGGTCAACAAATTCCCTCCAACCAGCGTGATGAGGGTCTTGGCGACTCGCCTCCTAACAAGTGAGTTAGCTATCTTATCTTGAGATTGCGTAATCTATGCTTCCACTGTTTGTATGCAAGATTATCTCTAGATTAACCATGGATTTTTGCAGCATTTCCTCAACCGCTTACAACTTGATGTCATCAATTTGGGCAGACATTGACGCACCTCGTGAACCAGAAGCGAAAGGTGTGGCGATGCTCACCGTGTGATGCGCACAAATTGCAACTCCTTACTTTCCAGTGGAGGTCCGAGTTCGGTAGGCCACGGTGTCGTAATGTCGTTGTGAATGCTTATGTATTTTGTTCGCTGCCTACATTTCTATTTCACCTCCATTTTTACATCACGAGTACATAGAGGGTACTACTAGTATTATCACCTAACTAATATATTTACGTGTAGCGGTTACCCCGCCCTTCTTTTTTTTTCTAACCAATTGATTATTGCCTATTATTTATTTAAATATGTGTTGATTATTTGACGACTCATATCTACACATATATACCCAGATTACTTAAGAAAATTAACCAGAGCTGTATGTAGACGGAGCGTTTTATTTGCGACACGTGTGAACTGTGCTATCATTCCATTACCAGAGTTTATTTTTTTTTGCGGAGAGTCTATGCGTATGCTGAGCGTACGCTTTGTCATCCTTCATTCTTAAACTTTTGCATCTTCGTCGTTTCTTTCTAAACTGCCGATGAATTTCTCCCAAAAAGCAAATTGATCACCAGAAATTTTTATAACCACATTTCTATTATTATTGAAGATTCTCGGATTGCTTTATTCAGATATATCATAGTGTGACTCTATCAATGCATTTGCATATTTTGTATATTATACCTATGAACATTGTAGCAATGAAATCTGGCCCGTTCCTAACAATGTATCATCATCATCATCATCATCGTCCACATTAATATATATTTTGTAAATTTCCCTGATCTGATTTCCCCTGATTCGTGTTATTATAAATCTGAGGTATTGTGTTCACTTGCACCGTGTGTGCGTGTTGGTGGTTGTGGTGGTGATGTCGTGATGTAATGTTTGGCCTGTACGCGTCAGAAAAACTCAATGTATTCGGAGCAGGTTCACTTGCACTACAACTGAAAATTGACGTGTCCTTTGACAGCGGGAACACCCTAGCAGATTGGCCAAGCTGTCGCGTGAATCGCTGATTTCGTCAACGGAGTGGAGTATTTTGGAGTTGGTCTGCCTCGCTAAGCTTGGGAACCAGCAACCAGTTGTAACTATAAGTTTATATGACTTCTTATTAGGTGTTTTTCCCTATCCTTTAGCAAAAGGCTACATTTCAAATGAACACCT